TACAAGGTTGTTCTAACAAGTCTGATATAGTCATGATATAACAAGAATGTTACAAGGTTGTTCTAACAAGTCTGATATAGTCATGATATAACAAGAATGTTACAAGGTTGTTCTAACAAGTCTGATACAGTCAGGATATAACAAGAATATTACAAGGTTGTTCTAACAAGTCTGATACAGTTATGATATAACAAGAATGTTACAAGGTTGTTCTAACAAGTCTGATATAGTCATGATATAACAAGAATGTTACAAGGTTGTTCTAACAAGTCTGATACAGTCATGACATAACAAGAATGTTACAAGGTTGTTCTAACAAGTCTGATACAGTCATGATATAACAAGAATGTTACAAGGTTGTTCTAACAAGTCAGATACAGTCATGATATAACAAAAATGTTACAAGGTTGTTCTAACAAGTCAGATACAGTCATGATATAACAAGAATGTTACAAGATTGTTCTAACAAGTCAGATACAGTCATGATATAACAAGAATGTTACAAGGTTGTTCTAACAAGTCTGATACAGTCATGATATAACAAGAATGTTACGAGGTTGTTCTAACAAGTCTGATACAGTCATGATATAACAAGAATGTTACAAGGTTGTTCTAACAAGTCTGATACAGTCATGATATAACACGAATGTTACAAGGTTGTTCTAACAAGTCTGATACAGTCATGATATAACAAGAATGTTACAAGGTTGTTCTAACAAGTTTGATACAGTCATGATATAACAAGAATGTTACAAGGTTGTTCTAACAAGTCTGATACAGTCATGATATAACAAGAATGTTACAAGGTTGTTCTAACAAGTCTGATACAGTCATGATATAACAAGAATGTTACAAGGTTGTTCTAACAAGTCTGATACAGTCATGATATAACAAGAACGTTACAAGGTTGACGACACGTTGTAACAATATTGTGATATCATGACTGTATCGGACTTGTTGGAACAACCTTGTAACAAGCCTGATAATATCAACAAGGTTGTTACAAATTGTTAACAGCTTGTTTCAAACTTGTTGACAACTTGTGACAAGCAGTGCGAAGACAACTTGTTGACAAACTTGTTACAAGATGTGAGATTTTTGCGTGCGAATTTGGTATATATAATCAAAGTGAAAGCATTCCTCTCACATGGGACTGAGGTGAAATTATAATCAAACAACGGCACAGTGCCAGAATCAAATCAACTGAGATCGAACCCATGCAGTCAGGCTGACGAACTAACAACTGTATTTGTTTTCAAGGGCGACTCACCCAACGCCAAGATTAGTAAATACAATCTCAAAAAGATTGAAAATGGAATGGAAACATCCGTAATGAAATTGAGAGAAAGTGACCAACGACTGGTAGCATGAAACAAGTTAGCTGCTCGGTATATCAATACTCCTAAATAAAGAAGGAAGAGTCTTGTTTACACTATCAAAGTTTCTGTGATCACAGTAGGAATTTTGCATGGGTAAATTCTACGTTCTGAAGGATTTGTAAGAAATGTTTGAGGGAACTTACTCAATGTTAAACACTATGGCCCCGTTTACACTATATCGGATTACTTTTCATACCGGATTAATTTTTACTCCGAAGTAAAAAAACACGGGTGTTTACACTATGCCGCTTCGCTCTGTTGCCAGCTCATGTCTTTCACTGTCGCCATGAAAACAAATAGCCAATATACCAAAATTTATTAAAAACAAGAAGTAGTACCCGTTTTCTTTGTAAAGTATAACTTTGTTTAAAAAGCTTGACCACCAGACGTTGCTTCGTTTCGCTCTAATCCAAAATTGACGAGTATTTCTTTAAATTAAATTTTGCTCTTTCGACAGCGAAAAGTCAATGTTATTATCGTTTTCTTTATTTGTATTCGGCAGAAATAGTAAATGGTTGCAATGCGAAACAAACAACAGCTATAAAGTATTGTAAAAGCAAGCAAATAAAGGCGACAATGTTAAAACATACATGCCAAAACCGATTTTGTACCGAAGCGTACCGGATTAGCCTGTTTACACTGCTCCGGCACATACCGGATTACTTTTCATATCACCTCCAAAGCGGAGTGATTTTTATGCCGCGTCGCGTACCGGATTACTGTGGCGTAGTGTAAACAGCAGCCGAATCCGGTATGAAAATCGCGACGCTCCGATGCAATCCGGTATAGTGTAAACGGAACCTATAAGGGCCTGTTTATATGGAGGCCAGTTACCCGGCGAGGCGAGTAAGCGAGTTACTTGGCAATGGTGAGACTATAAGACCAAATTGCAAGAAAGAGAACAGGAAAATACAATGATTTTTAATGCACGATCACACACGAGCAAGTTTCAACTCGTTGTTTATCGATTTGATTCATTTGAATGACCTTGACAAGTTTAATTGTTGCTCGTATGTATGCGGATTATTGTTAAACATTTATCTCACGTCAATGCAGCCTTTTGTTTGGCAAAACCATAGATGTATTTATTATACACTTGTCAAGTTTTCCTAATTGGTGGTCGTACATACGAACAAATTTTCCTTGTCCAAAAGCTGGCATGAGTCGCATGACTATAGCTTTGGAACGAGGCTGCTTGGCAAGCAAAAAATTGTCAATGGAATGTCACCCGCAACAATCGTATACGTGACTGCCATAACTCTCATCCTCAGACAGAAACATGTCAAGGACAAAATTGTTTAGGTATTTACAGTACCCTCAGTTATGAGACCCAGAGGATACAACGGGATCCAGGCTGTATATCGCAACCAGAGCAGCCATTTTGGACAGTAACCGACTGTTTGAAGTAAATAAAACGGATACCTGCATGGAATAAAACGAAAACAAAATTTAAAAGTTTTGGATTTAACTAGTTCATAAAGGCCAATAGATGATTCCAAGACTAAATTTTGATCTCGGCACTAAGAAGAACACAGCTAGAAAGAGCATGTTAAAATTAGTAAAATTGCAAAGTTTGGTTGCGAAATGTTGTAAAATGAGGAAAATATAGCCCTACGAAATTTGCAAATTTTGTATTAATTTGTATAGTACGCATGAGAAAATACACAATGCACTTTCGTCCCAAATGTGGTGCATTTTCCCGCGCGTAATACAAATTAATACAAAATTTGCAAATTTCACAGGGCTATATTTTCCGCATTTTACAACATTTCACGGCCAAACTTTGCAATTTTACTAATTTTAACATGCTCTTTCTAGCTGTGGTGATGGATTTTGTTCTTCTTGCCTAGATCAAAAGTTAGTCTATAGCTGGAATTCATCATCTATTTACACTACACATGCAACTTTTGCCTAAAGTTGATTTCACGAAACTTTGGCCGCGCCAGTTGCGAGATTGGTTGGGAATTTGGGAACTATAAACACGAGATCATCAAGTTGATTGGAAACCGGCCAATCAAATTCGGAAGTTTCGCATCTGAATTATCGAAATTCGTTACGAAATTCCGAACCAAGTTCGCAAATTGCAAACGATTTTGACGGTAAATTTTAAAAACTAAACTTATTGTATTAAACTTATTCATTTACTAATAAATAATATCATAATAATAATAATTTCAGGTTTGAAATTATAATAAGTTTAATACAATAAGTTTAGTTTTTAAAATTTACCGTCAAAATCGTTTGCAATTTTCGAACTTGCTTGCGAACTTGGTTCGGAATTTCATAACGAATTTCGATAATTTGATGCGAAACTTTCGAATTTGATTGGCCGGTTTCCAATCAACTTGATGATCTCGTGTTTATAGTTCCCAAATACACGAAAGTCTAACCATTTACTGATGTCAATATGAAGGTATAGCACTTTCTCCTCAATGATTTTAAGACCTTGAGTAGAGATCCGAGCTTGAAAGACAAGCGTGCATTGATTTACACAGTACAATTCAAGTTGTAAGCAGGTTGTATGCGACAGTTTTAGGCAAAAGTTGTGTCGTGTAAATTGGCCTTAAGTGTCACAGAAAGAATCAGATGAACAGTGGTCCTACCTAACATTCTCAATAAGCGACCACGCGAGAAATAGAACAACGACTAAGACACTTTTCTGCAACTCCTCATGAGGTGTGATGACCAGGAACAGCGCAATAAAACGACCAATACACTGAAGAAGAAATTGGCGCAATTAAAATCTGACATGCATATTAGCTATAAAAAATTGCATTATACCGTACGTTGTACAATACAATGATACATAAAGCCACAAGTTTGCTTCTCAACTCTCATCAACTCTCATGCAAATCTTGTTCTCATTTGACCGGGACACGAAAGTTGAGAAAACTCTCATGCAAACTCTCGCTTCTCAACTCTCATGCAACTCTTGTTCTCGTTTGACTGGACCATGAGAGTTGTGAAAAGTCTCATGCAAACTCTTGCTTCTCAACTCTCATCAACTCTCATGCAAATCTTGTTCTCATTTGACCAGGACATGAGAGTTGAGAAAACTCTCATGCAAAATCTCGCTTCTCAACTCTCATGCAAATCTTGTTCTCATTTGACCGGGACACGAGAGTGGAGAAAACTCTCATGCAAAATCTCGCTTCTCAACTCTCATCACCTCTCATGCAAAGCTCTCGTGCAAACTCTTGCTTCTCAACTCTCATGCAACTCTTGTTCTCATTTGACTGGGCCATGAACGTTGAGAACGACAAACACACAAAAAAAACATTCAAGTACTCCCCATATCCCCTACCTGCGCCAGAGGAGCAAAAACACCAGTGTGCACCAACTTAAACGCGGCGTTGATTGGCTCAATAAATGCTGCAATCTGACACGTGGCTAGTAAATCACTGACGTCATCGTATATTCGAGGAACGGCATCTATATACACGTAACAAAGCACCAATTAATTGTTACAGGCTGCAGCAGACTTGCTATAAAATTGTTTCAACATGCTGGATCAGTTTCATGACGGACCTGATTGCAACAAGCTAGCTTTAATAACTCAATGGGCTTGTTACAATTGACAACTGTCTTTACCATATAGTCCTGGCCCCTCTTTCTGGCAAATTTTCCAAACATTAACGGGGAAACCTACCAGCACCATTCAATAAAAGCTTGATTAAAACAGCAAATGTGATGTAGAAAAATGCAATGCCTTGGATGCTATTGTAAATTGAAAGATATCCCTTTATCACCAATTCTTTAACTAAAGGTTAAAGGAAAAACATGTTCTGTATGTCAACACTTTTCTAGTTGTTTTTAATCAAACAAAAAAAGTATCAGTGAGTCAAACCTTCTTCTTCAGCCTCTCTGACATGGTCTTGCAGCTGTGATTCCATTTGCTTGTTTCTATGCTCAACAGATATTCTCTGATATAAAATAACACAGAGATTAACAAACCAGCAAGCAAATTGGGATACTCTAAACCAACAGTTAATGCCAAATAAATTCACCTATCAAGGAGTGACTATTGGGCATAAATGGGTTGACCAGATTATCTGCTGTGATCAGCCCAGATCTCTTATTAATCAACCATTTAGGCCAATGGAACTGTAGATTCTGTTTACCGTCCACCGCCCGCATGTGCTTGAAACTACCGCAAGAATTTTTCATTATTCTTAATTATGTTCATTATTTGTCATTATTTTTAATTCTACGCATCGAAACTTTCAAATATACATCAAATCATCAAATCTTCGATATAAAAAGCCATACATCGCCGATGTATGATGGATCAGTTGGCATTTGTTCGGTACACTCGGAAATTCGCGAGTCTGACATGTGCAAATTCGAAAACAATGGCGTGACAAAAAAATTTTCCGCAAAGGAAAGCCCAAAAATGATAAAAAAAAATGCTGGACAAAAGTGTTGATGGTCATGATCAAAAGAAAACGATTTAAGGATCATTTTTGGTCGGAAAATAGATAAAAACAAAAATAATGAAAAATGAATAATGAAAAAAAACCCGCATCAGATTTTTTAAATTCTCGGACGGTAAACAGAATCTACAGTTCCATTGGCCTTAACAATGCACCCTACTTTATTATTTTACCCTGTGTAATGCCAGACGATTGTAACTCATCAGGGGGAGTGTGCTGCCACTAAATGGGTTAACCTATGAGCAAATTGGACTAGTGGATTCTACTTCAGTGGATTATTTTATTGTCTGATTAATAATAGCCCTTAGGCATGAATAATTTCATTAGACAACATGTAAACATGGAACCTTGTGTTAAACAGAGCTGCAGCATTTGAGCTTTATAATTACGTAAGGTATACAGTAACTAAAAAATACCGTTATTTCCTCTTGTTGTCGTTCGTCTTCAGAGTCATCTTCACCTCGCCATCGATCAAAATCAATCTTCAACCATCCAGGTTTGATATCGTCAGCTAACAACCTTTCCCAGTATTTCGCTGTTGATGTACATTACAAGAAGTCTTTGTTGGTAGAATGACATGATTTTATAATATTTGTATCAGGGGGGATCTGCCTGATTTGTTAGAAGGGGTGGAGGTTTTTCTGAGGGGGTGGAGGTTTTCCTGAGGGAGTGGAAGTTTTCCTGAGGGGGTGGGGGTTTTCCTGAGGGGGTGGAGGTTTTCCTGAGGGAGTGGAGGTTTTCCTGAGGGGGTGGAGGTTTTCCTGAGGGGGTGCATTACTACGGGGGTCTGGGGGCATTCTCCCCCCAGAAAATGTTTGAAATTTAAAGCCCCTGAAATGCCATTTCCTACATTATGAGCACTAGTGTGTTATTCTTTAAATTTGTCCTCACAGTACTTGTATTTGGGGAAAAATTAAGAAAAGCACTACGTTATATGGTGACCAGCTGCCATATTTTCTCGCGTACTCAATAATCAATTGTTTCTATCAATATAATAAGTAGTATTCACAACTCAAATATGGAATATACCAAAGTTTTCTTCAAGGAAGTGCTGGACACCACTAGGGGGGGGGGAGGGTGCACACCTCCCTGCACCCCACTGATAGATCCGTCTCTGATTTGTACCCAAAACCAATTTGACATTCACCATCAAATATTTATTAGCTACCGAAGTACTGTAAGAACGTGTCCATGGTTTTTTCATTTGTGATTGTTCTTTTTCAAGAAAATTGGGCCATATTTGATACTTACAGTCTTTTTTCTTTAAGGTGATTGTCACACATCTATCACTTATTCTATGTTTGCAGAGCTAGAAAAAACACCATAAAATATCAGCATATATATAAAAAATGTCGAACAATAAACACCAAATAGGAATATCTCAGCTCAAGGATTGAAGGATGATTAAAAAGTTCACTTCGTTTGACAACAAAAGATTACAAAAAATTAAAAAGTTCATTAATTTAAATAAATAAAGTTGTTACCTTTGGGAGAATGTCCTCTCTAAATGTTACATCAAGTTTATAAATATTTTCACCTTGTGCTCCGTTTCCACAGCCTAAAATAATTTACTAGTATAATTCCAACAGCGCACAGATATAAGACGTTGTGGTCTGCGGTAACCTGGTCGCCTGATTGCAAAACTGGGTCAAAAGGCAGGGCCGTAGCAAAGAGGAAGGAGGAGGGTGTAGTATCGCATTTGCCAACAATTCAGTCGTTAATTAATATTTCCCCCTAAATTGTTAGTGAGCGGGGGGGCGGGGTAGGAAGTCGTAAATTTTTTCCGTACGGTACACAATTTTCTGGCCACATACAGTGTAGTAACCTTTCTAAACATATGAAAATATTTCCAGACATATCGTAATTTTTCCTTACATACAAAAATTTTTCAGACATCATAATTTGTTAACTTTTTCCATAATTTTCAGTAAATGTAGCAAAATATTTGCTATAACTTTTACTTTTTATTCCAAGCCACTCAAACATTTTCTCTGACTACGAAAACAATTTGCCGATAAATCCGAAAACAATTTGCCAAATCTAGCAGACATTTTCCGAGTCTGTGTTGAATGGGGGGGGGGTTACACCCCTCCCACACCCCCTCTAGCTACACCCCTGTCAGAAGGTCCAGCATGGACTAGCATATTAGGAATTTCCCAGTATCCTTTAGCAAATTTTATACTAAGTCTTGCTGTAGTCTAATGTGACATACCTTATGGCAAGATTTTTTAAAACTTCATTTTGCCATGGTGAAAATGTCACAGAATAATAGCTTTGGGCCTGCATGGCAAGTTAAAATCATGAAAATATTCTTATAAATGAATATGGTGAAGTAGATATGCCATATATTACTTTATCACTCTTCTGAATTAACCGACAATTTAGCATGGTGCAACTACAAGTATTATGACCTATTGTATAAACAAAATCACAAATCCACGTGTTTTTGTACCTTCGAACTTCAGAGTTTTCTCCTGGATTTGCAAGCTGTTTACAACGACGTCGCTTAGTTCAACAGTCAAATAAACTTGATTACGATCTTGCGCCCACTTTACGAGAGGATTTAAAACTACAGCCATGTTTTAACGACCATAAAAATACATAAAACAATCACTAAAATATGATACAGTGTTATGCAACGCTCGCAGCTGCTTCCTACAACACGCAAAATCCACGCATCCACGCGCGCAGCTGAAAGACCACGTGGGCTATGACGGTGAGCTCTTTATATGTAACTGGAGTGACGTCTTCAAATCATATATAGACCTTTTCAACAATAAGCACGCCATTTTGAAATGAAAAGCATCATGGTTTGTTTGAATATGCTGTACTTTAACAAGCAAATTCACTGTACTGTGCTACAGCAACTGCCCAGTCACGCATACGTGATAAAAAGCCGACATAAATTTTATAAACAAAAGATAATGTAAAACTTAACAGAACGGCAAACGTGCAGATTCAGCCATCTCAAATAATGGTACTGTTGGGCTAGTAGCGTTGCAGACTGCAGAGGAGAGTGGGCAGTAAGGCTCCCTCATGCACCACCCCATGGAAAACCTGCACCCCTCCTTGAAGAGGAGACTAGATCCGCCCATGGTTTAATTTCTCTGTTCTCCAAGCCATCCATTCACTTTCGGACATATTTCTAACATTATTCCAAAGACATTTTCTATATTGATTCACAATAATCACTTCGTAACTCATTTTCTGCAAATTTATTAATCTTGTAAATTAATGAACTTTGCTACGTATAAAGAATTGATTATTATAATGTAACAGTGAGTGTTCATTAAATCAAATCCATTTCATTCTTTGTCTAGTTTTCAAGGCTTAACCAATGGTTGCGTCGTTATTGCAATTATGGTTGGATGAAGAATATTGAAAAATTATGTATATCATCGTTGAACATCTATATCTATATTTTGTTTGTTGTGAGCTTTATACAATTGAATTTTTGCTAATCACAGAGAATCACAGAGTGTGTTATATCGGTTACAAAATGAAACAAGGCATTGACAATTTGGTATTTATTATTTCGCTGGGGGACCGGTCATTATTTATGGAGGGGGGTGTGACACCGAAGAAAAAAGGGTTGGGTAAACAAAATTTTGCGTGAGTAAAAGGTTGGGTAAGTGAAAAAACAAAACAACTCAAGAAATTATTGTCATTTCCAAAGCATGACTCACTCAAATATTGAAGACTAAAAAGCAATGTCAACAGTCATATGTCAATACAATATGTGACACTATCTTGATCATTTTCCGAAAGTATATGTGCAGACAACATGAAACTTTAGACTGCAAAAAATTGCACAAGCTATTTATCAAAACTCATGTCACAGAAGTAGTAAAGGACATATATTTTTGGCCAGGGGTGTGTATTTACTTTTTAATTGATATTTGAGGTTGGGTGGAATTTTTTGAATTTTTAATGCTTGGATTTAGCAAAATTTTTATCAAGGAAAACATTTTCGCCATAAATAACGACTGGTCCCTCTATATGTTTCCCATATTCACAGATATGAAAATCACCTATTTAATAGTGGGATACTTAACAAAACAATCAAATGATTCACCAATTTCTAGAAAATACACTAGACAGCTATATATCTTTCGATTGGACGACGGATCATGTAGTGTAATGTAGGTAGGAATTGAACACAATGTGTAGCAGAAGACGTATTGTATTATAACATGATATCTTTCTCTTTAAAAACAGTCTGGCAAAAGCTACCAATCTTGCGAAGAAATTTGGGACATTCTCGTTTCGAGACAGCGCGGACTACGGATGGCGGAGCCCAGCCGCCAGGATTTACTGCAAAAGATAAAAAAGTCGAATATAAGAGAAAATATTCTTATACACTACCGAATCAGTGGTTAACACATGAGCCATTTCCCTCAAACATTTCTTACAAATCCTTCAAAACTTAGAATTTACCTACCGGGTGTCACAAAAAAAAGTGGACATTGTTTGATTTCATGTAACGTAAAAGCTATAAAAGCTATCGCAATGAAATAAAGATCATTGCATTCAGAAAGGACTAACTTAGATTTTGATATATAGCACAATGAATTTGCATGCAATATTGACTGCGCTATTGATGTTTGAACGTTGAACTACTGTTTTTAAAAATGCCAAAAATGAGCATAAAACAACCTTATAATTACCGATGTAGTTATACTTGTTAAGTAATAAATATTTTTACTTTGGTTGTATATATTCTCGCTCAATATTGCATGTAAATTCAAGTGTTATATATCAAAATCTAAGATAGTCCTTTCTGAATGCAATGATCTTTATTTCATTGCGGTAGTTTTTATAGCTTTTACGTTACATGAAATTAAACAGTGTCCAGCTTTTTGGGGACATCCGGCATATTCAAAATTCCTACTATCACAGAAACTTTGATAATGTAAACCATTCTTTAAAGTCATACCTGTACAACTGTAGGTAATTTTACACGAAATGTGATCTCTTGTGAGAGCTTCTCCTTCAGTTCGAGGTGCGATGGTTGTCTGACAGAAGAACGCCACATCACATGTAGCACGTACATATTTGTTTACCTTTAAAGATAATGTACACGTAACATTTCGTTGTGATACTCGTTTTCAGCATCTTAGGGAGCGGTCATAATTTATGGGGGAGGGGGGTGGCACCGAAGAGAAAAGGGTTGGGTAAACAAAATTTTGAGTGAGTAAAAGGTTGGGTGAATGAAAAACAAAACAACTCAAGGGTTGGGTAATAAAAATTTATTGTCATTTCCAAAGCATGACTCACTCAAATATTGAAGACTAAAAAGCAATGTCAACAGTCATATGTTAATACAATATGTAAATCAATCAGAGTCACTATCTTGATCATTTTCCGATTTGATAGGAGACAAATGGTGTCTCCAAAGAAAGTACTGCATGTGCAGACAACGTGAAACTTTAGATTGCAAAAAATTGCACAAGCAGTTGTCAAACTCATGTCACAGAAGTGGTAAAGGACATGTGTGACAAATGAATGGTATCCTTTTGTAAAGTTTTTGGCCAGGGGTGGGTATTATTTCTTAATTAATATTTCAGATCAAGTAAAAAAATTTGACTTTAATAGTTGGATCAGCAACATTTTTACCAAGAAAAGCTTTTCTCTTCGGTGCCCCGCCCCGCCATAAATAATGACCGCTCCCTTATTGAAACTCATCTATACTATTAGGAATCAGAAGACTTACCGGGACGCCGGAATGATCAATGGAATAGTTAATTGATAGCCATGGATTGCCTACTTCGTATTCTAAGCGTTCTAAAGAAACATCGGCACTCGGGATTTCACGGATATGTGACATAAATAGAGTTTCTCTCTGTGATGACGGCCAGACACGTTTGTACAGTTGATGAAATACCATTGTGTTGGAGGAAAATGTCTCGATCACCTTGCACGTTTCCAGGGTACCTAGGATATGAGAATGGTCAATGGTCAATGCCATGAGGGGATATATGTTACACACGTAAAAATCTCACAACTTGTCAACAAGATGTGTTCGCAACAGGTTTGCAGCAAGCTTGTCAACAAGTTGTAACAATGCTGTTATTTCATCAAGTTGCTACAAGGTTGTCACTCACAACTTGTTAACAAATTGTTGAATCACAACTCACAATTTGTTGACAAATTGGAACAACTTGTAACAAGTCTGTTGAGCTCAACAACCTTGTAACAAGCTTGATGGCATTATCAGGCTTGTTACAGGGTTGTTCTTACAAGTCTGATACAGTCATGATATAACAAGAATGTTACAAGTTTGTAACAATATTGTTATATCATAACTGTATCGGATTTGTTGGAACATCCTTGCAACAAGTCTGATAATATCAACAAGGTTGTTACAAGTTGTTAACAGTTTATTCCAAACTTGTTGACAACTCGACATAAGCAGTGGGAACACTTGTTGACGACTTGTTGGACTTGCTACAAGGTGCGAGATTCCTGCGTGTGTAGTTAAAATGAATACATTTGAGCAACTCATAAGATAACTTACTGTCCCAATCCATTCGCACGTCTTTGTCAAAGAAATAGTGAGCCATTTCCCTGCCAGTCACTCCCTTATTAAGATTAAAATAAAAAAATATGCACAGCTGAACACTTTACATATCCCTTATTTCCTTATGATGAGAATCACAGCATACACGTATTTAAAAACCTACCTGTACAGTATGTGTTGCTTTGAGTGGGTCAATAACCACGCCACCTTCCTCATAATCTCGGCGATGTACCTGAAAAAGTAACAATGGTTCGAGTGAGCTGAGAGATGGTTGACAATCGAAATACACGAGTTTTGCAGTTATAGAAACTGCCATAAGGGAGCGGTCATTATTTACAGTATGGCGGGGTGGTACCGAAGAGAAATGTTTTTCTTGTTAAAAATTTTTTGCTGATCCAGTCACAAAAAAGTCAAAACATTTTGTAGCCAACCTCAAATATCAAGTAAAAAATAAATACCCATCCTTGGTCAGAAGCTGGTTCAATACCGTTCAATTGTCACACATTTCCTTTACCACTTCTGTGACATAGTTTGATAACTGCTTGTGCAATTTTCAGTCTAAAGTTTGAGATGTTGTCTGCACATATACTTTCTTTGGAGACACCATTTGCCTCCTGATAAATCGGATGGTGACTCTGATTGATTGATTGATTTACAGTACATATTGTATTGACAGTTGACATTGCTTTTTAGTCCTCAATATTTGAATGAGTCATGCTTTGGAAATGACAATAAACGTTTATTACCCAACCCCTGAATTGTTGTTTTTCATTTACCCAACCTTTTACTCACTCACAATTTTGTTTACCCAACCCTTTTCTCTTTGGTGCCACCTCCAGCCATAAATAATGACAGGTCCCTAATTGTATTAGTCATTCTCTAGGGTATGCGCAAACAATAATTTAGAACAGAGAATTAAAGACCGTATGCGCTAATCCTATATATAATTAATTTCGGACAGACAGCCGAGGCAGGTACCTTCATTTCTCCATCTTCATATACCAAAGTCCAATTACCATCCACATCTTCTTGAATATATTGAAGACTGTCATATATATGGGAATCAACCTTGACGAAAGATTTCATACCAACATTATTTTCACGTTTGCACCTATTTGTAAGCATATTGTCAACAAACATATTTCAAACGAACTACATTCAAACAGATAACAGACCTCTTTGGAGAAGCGATGTGCCTCTTCCGAGCCTTCTTTCTCTATCATTTCGCAACCACGAATATCCTGCGGAAGATGCAAGAATTTAAACTATTTGATACAATGAATTACACACGATTGTAAAATTGTAAAAGTAATCAGGGGTGGATCTATCGTGGGGGCGCAGGGGGGTGCCCACCACACCTAGCGGTGTCTAGAACACCCTCCTCCCCCCCCCCCAAGAGAAGTTCGGCACCACACAAAAAAATCTGCTTGACCATACATTTTCTACTTTTTGAACAACGATTAGCGTAACTTCTACTGTTAGCGCGTTTCGCTCGAGCTCATGAGAAAATACTTAGAATGCTTTAGTTAAATATCATGGTTAAATGTGTAAACATATTCAACCATATACTATACTTTAACAAGCAAATTTAGTGTACTGTGTTACAGCAACTGCCCAGTCACGCATACGTGATAAAAAGCTGATATAAACTTTATAAACAAAAGATAAATGTAAAACGTAACAGAACGGTGAACATGCAGATTCGGCCATCTCAAATAGGGATAGTAGTAGCGTTGCAGACTGCAGAGGAGAGTGCACAGTAAGGCTCCCTCATGCACCATGGAAAACCTGCACCCCTCCTTGCAGATGAAGCTAGATCCGCCCCTGAAAGTAATCAAGTAAAATTCAACTTAATCGTTACCAGGTCATCATTGGCACCATCTTCTTCATCGTGTTGGTCCAAAGCAGTTTCAACAGCATCATAAAACTCTTCTTCATTCAGCATCATATGTGGGCCTTCCTGGAAATTGTAATAATACATTTTTTGTTATAAGCACAAAGAACTATAATAGTATAAAAACATTCAAGCCTCAAAATCGGAACCTAGTTTCTACACATTTTTTAAGATCTATAGAGTTTTGCAGAAATTTTCAGACATTCGAAATTCTAAAATTAGACTGATTAAATAATTACCTAAATAATTGCCTAAGAATAATTGCCTAAATACCTTGTTATTGAAATGTTGAATACCTAATTAATCTACTAACGCGATACCTAAATTATAGTGGAACAGTTTCATCAAAACTATTCATATATAGCCTGCAGTATGAAATTTGTTTTTAATCATGTAAGACTGTAACTTCTATGATTACTTCAGGATTTATCTTGCAACACGACAACATCATAAGACAATCACAAATGACAATTTTGTTATTTTCCCCTATTTATTGCAAAACCACACTAGATCTTTTGACGTTGCTTGTGTTACAATAAAACTGAGGAAATACTGCGTATATACATACCACAAAGTCAGGTCCACTAACAAACGACTTCTTCTTGGCATTGAGTAAAGCCTTCTTGCATTGTTCCTCAATTTTCTTGCGTTTTTCAACCTCCTGAACGTCAATTGAACACAAATTCCAATTTCACTTTTCTTTCGTATAAATTAATTCTACGAACGTTTTACTACTGTAATTAGAAATTATGCAATTATAATGAAACGTTTTAAGTTTTTATAGATACAGTATTTCCAGTACAAGTTGTATTCTGCAATACGCTGCCGTGATTTGCAGGGTTTAAACTAAATAATTTGAATTTAGGTGTATTAGTGCTACAGAGCTATATCTATTATTATTATTAAACTTTATTAGAAGTGTCAATGTGTGTAGCTCTTACAAACTAATTGGGGACACTTGTCCTAACTATTTAAACTTACTATCTATCTATGTTCTTAGATTATATACTATATTATATATTTATTTGAGAGTTTATAAAAATGGAGTCTAAAATCTATAACTTCTAAGAAGAGAATCTAGAACATTAAGACAGGCATATCTTACAGTTTTTACAACTGTTTTCAACTAAATCTTGCAGATTTGTCTTTCAAATAGCATTCTTAAAACTTTCTAAAGATGAAGCTCTGCTTGGCTCAAAGTGGACCATATATACGGTCCAAAGTATCTAAGTGCATGTTTGCCATATTGCACAGTATTAAAACGGGGTCTATGGAAGTCTGCATTACGTAAGCCATAGCCCTTGTCAACTGTCTCGAAAATACTGTTAACATAAAGTGGACTTATATTGTTTTTCACCTTGAACATTAGAATTGCTATGTCTTGTAGTTGTCTATTATACAAGGTGGAAAGATTTGCTCTATTTAATAATTTACAACTGTTTTACTACGTGATATGATAGTAATTGGCCTGAAGCTGTTGTGATTTCCTGTCACAATTGTAATGTTTTTTTCTGTGTAATGATTGTTATTTGTCATGATGTATTCTTGTTGTGACAAAGCTTGTAAAATTAAATTTTATAGTTATATGAGCTACAGAGGCCAGTTGGCAAGCTCTAACCACAAGTTCATGTACTGTATATACAGCTAGTTAAAAAGGTTGTCCTTTGCAAACCTTAAACTCTAAACCTTAAATTCTAAGCGCACAATGGGAGGTCATTTAATCAGTTTAGAAATCATATGTGGGTCCCATTTCTTAGAGACATGGTAAATATCTCCTTGCAAAAACAATTCATTCGCAAATATGTAGCTGCAATATTCAACTACTAAGCTTGAAACTTGTGCTCCCGTTAAGCTTTGCGCGCTTAGAGATTAAGGTTTAGAGTTTCCGAAAGACAACCTTTTTTGAATTGGCTGACCGCTGTATACTAGGGTACTGCCATGTTTAGGTTATGGGTAGATATCAAGATTTTGTTGGCATTTCATTCGATAGAATAAGAGTTGAAGGGGATATATATATATATATATATATATATATATATATATATATATATATATATATATATATATATATATATATATATATATATATATATATATATATATAGAGAGAGAGATATATATATATATAGAGAGAGATATATATATATATAGAGAGAGATATATATATATATATATATATATATACAGGGTGTATCAGAAAAAACTGAACAGATTTGAAATTGCTCTCAATTTCGCAAAACACCTATTTGTATCCGGGTTTTTATATATATAGCTTCTTTGGGTACTTATAATGTAGAATAATGAAAAAAATTTCTTGAACTCAAATTTTGTGAACCAGGGGGGGGTGTCTTTTCCAACAAATTAAAAATGGCTCGCGCACAAAATTTAAAAGTTGTAATCATATTTTGAGTTAATAGATGGAAACTTTGTCGGGTTTTTAATTACTGTACAAAATTTCAGACAATTTGATTTAGTTTAAGCCCTTTAACTATTCACGCAAAGTTACATTTTTCCTAAAAATCAGCTTTTCGCATGCTTAATTAATGCATTTGCCTAATTTGCATATGTCAGCAATATGCAAATTAGGTAAAGGCTATTAATTAAGCATGCGAAAAGCTGATTTTTTAGAATAAAATAAACAGTTAAAGGGCTTAAACTAAACCAAATTGTCTGAAATTTTGTACAGTAATTAAAAACCCGACAAAGTTTCCATCTATAAACTCAAAATATGATTACATCTTTTAACTTTTGTGCGCGAGGCATTTTTAGTTTGTTGGAAAAGACACACCCCCCCCTGGTTCACAAAATTTGAGTTTGAGAAATTTTTTTCATTATTCTACATTATAAGTACCCAAAGAAGCTATATATATAAAAAACCGGATGCAAATAGGTGTTTTGCGAAATTGAGAGCAATTTCAAATCTGTTCAGTTTTTTTTGATACACCCTGTATATACATATATATATATACATATATATATTTTCCAACCTTTTCATATTTTCGTTTCCAATGTTCTTCCTTCTTGCTCAAAAGATCAATGCAATGTGACATGGTCGCCAGGATTCCTGACGTGGTCGCCTTAAACGTAATTGCTTCGCCCTTGAAGTCAATTGCGTATTTATTTGGCATCTTGACTGGGCTACTCTCCGACATGGACCGTTTCTTCATGAGACTTGCGGGAGTCGGGGTGGAGGATAATTCGTCCATTTCGTCATCAGCGTCATGGTCAACTGAATAAGGTAAAATTTTGTTTTTTCAGAATACGCCTTTCCGGAACGTACAGGTCACTTTGGTCATAGAGCCTCTTTTTTGTGTATATACATTTATCACTCATAGACGTGGAGCGAGGGGGATTCGGCGAAATATTACCCGAAGTGGTGATATTTAGCCCGGAGGGAAATATCATCACTGACGGTAATATTTCGCCGAATCCCCCGAGTGGAAGGTCTATAAAATATAAATGATATATTATACCGACAATTAAAAACCTCCAAGTTGAGAATGTAAAACTTGCCACATACCTTCGTGAATACAATGTTTTATTTTTTGATTAAAGGACAATGGCAACGAAAATTTTTATTGGCTATTTCAATCCTACTTGATGAACTAACTATGAAAATATTATCATTTCCTTCTCAAACATTTTAGTCTACGAGTAAAATGCATGCAAACTTTGTGTTCCGAATCACATATCGCATTCACACTTATGCCGGAGCAAAATCATTTGAAAACATCACTTTTGCCGTATAACAAAAAGCATGGTTTCTAAACAGAGTGAGATTGAAACAGAGCGCTTGGCGGCTTCATGTCAACACAAACGCCGTTACTTTTTTGTACCGCTTGCAAATCAAGCATCTCAGCTCTCAAAACAGTAAACTTAAGTCAAATGTTTTTCGTTTTAAATTTCTTTGCTCTATTTGAAATATTTTGGGTTTACATGAGTGCTAATTTAATTTGTAAAGAATCTGTAACAATTGTCAAAATTTCCCTCCAGCTTTCAAACGAATCTCCCCCCCCCCCCTCTCCAATGAAAAATTATGTAGATACCTAGTTGATCATCTTCAAACATATCATCGTTCATTCTCAGATCATCATGATCATGTATTGAACTTCCTTCATTCTCTGCGCAACCATCAAAGTACGTCTGTAGCGTATCCACTTGACGACAAAGAATATCCCGAAACGTCTCCATCTCCATCAATTTCTCACGAAGACTGCGACCTTTCTGCAATGAAATGCAACACGATAATCCATCGTCAATTCTAAATTATTCCACCTTAAATTTGAGGGGTATGGCCAAATTAGCTGAGGCATAGACAGATTTTCAGATGTTGCTCTGGGGGTGCTGAAAATTAGGGGATTGGCGAACGGGGTGGGTAGTGCTGCCTAGAAAGCTGCGGCAGGGTCTGGGGGCACAGTCACTCCCAGGAAAAATGAAAATTTTTGTCTTATTTAGTTCCAAATCCTTGTTTTTAGTCTTACAGTATTTAAATTTCTGGGGGTGTCAGAAAACATTCTGAGAAGGTGCAAAATACCCCCCGAAATCCATCTATGAGCTAGGGTCAATCTAAAACCCAACTGAAGATAAATTCCTCTACCTTAAAAGATGATGATGATGTCGATGATAACGTCAGACTTGTCGCAGACGATAAGGACAACATTGAGGCATTTTTTCGAAGACTTGTTTCTGATCCATAACCTGAGTCAGATGCCTGCAGGAAAGCAATCATGATGACTAAATTTAGAAGATATCATTATATAAAATAAACCATTATGCCACAATATTTTGCCGTAATAGATCTTCTGTGTTACTTTACTATCCTAAAGTTGTTGTAAAGATAAATAGTCTAGGCAAAGTAAGTAACATAAGTAAGCGTAATACTTGATGAAATAGGTCACTGATAAGCCCCAATGGGTAGTGAGCTGAATAATAATGTAAAATGGGGATGTGTCCCCCACTTTTTGGACATTTGCTTCTTATCGTCTCAATCTACATTTGCACCAACGATCTGAGATTAAAGGCCCGTTTACACTACGCTCAATTTTTGGTACGGCACAGATAAAATTGGTACCCATACCACTTTTTTGGTTCTTGGACTACCTATTTAGCTAAGCCCCGTTTACACTACTCTCAATTTTTGGAACCGTATCACTTTTTGGTTCTTGGACTACCTAAATAGGTAGTCCAAGAACCAAAAAAGTGGTACAGGTACCAATTTTATCTGTGCCATACCAAAAATTGAGCGTAGTGTAAACGGGGCTTAAATAACAAATGTCCAAAAAGTGGAAGACACGTCCCCGGAGGGTTTATGACCTCAGCGACAATTTGCACTAATCAAGGGGAAAAGTAATAAAGGTTACACAAAACATTACTTTGATAGCTTCCAAAGTATCAATCCAAGACCGTCTTTCCTCTGGTTCCGCAGTCCGTAAATAATATACAGAATCGTTAACACGGACATCAAAGCGACACTCGTCAAACTCGCTAGCCTAGAACAACAAAATGTCACGTTACGAATGCCATCCAACTTTTTACATATATGAAAGTTTGTGTTAGGCGCAAGCACGTTGATGTTCTGTGTATTGTTAGGAGCCATATCCATATTTAATTTGGGGTGCATCAGAACTCGGTTCCGGCCGGAACTAATAAAAAAAGCATGGCCGGAACCAAAACTCTGTCCTTTTCAGAGAGATAGAATATCAAACGTTTTTGTGTCTAACAAAAGTAGTAGGAAGAAATTTCGACTACACAAGGAAAATGTACACTATTACAGGTAAACTACGTCAAGCGTTCCTCTTTTGATTGCAATTTTCCACATTACCTTTGCAATTTAAAAAATTCCCTTGCAAATCCCTTGAAGGAATTTGCAATGTTGCTAAAAGGCAATTAAATTTTCCTCAGTTCCTGTTAGAAGTTCTTAACTTCCTGTTATTACGAAAGTCACCGAACTGTGGAATCGCATCAAAAATTCGTATATCGACCACTCCCACAAACGTCTACGACCGCACCTACATAGTTTTGCACGTTTACAATTCTAATTTTAAACAGCCAATTACCAAGAACCTGATTGGCTGTTCAAAATTAGAATTGTAAACATGCAAAACTATGTAGTCGAATGTAGGCGTGGTCGTAGACGTTTGTGGGAGTGGTCGATATACGAATTTTTGATGCGATTCCACAGTTCGGTGACTTTCGTAATACAAGTTTCTAACTTCCTGTTCTGTTCTGTTCTGTTCTGTGCGTTGCAATTGGCTAACAAAAATAATCAACCAATAACAACGCTCAGAACAGAACAGGAAGTCAGGAAATTAAAACAGGAAGTTAGGAATATTTAAAACAAAGTTTTTTGCATTGGAATATTGCAACAGACGATAGGAACATTGCAAATTCCCTCAAGGGTTTGCAAAGAGTTTTTCAAATTTGCAAAGCTAATAACGAAAATTCCAAATGAGTTAGGAAGTCAAAAGAGGAACGCTTCATGTACTTGTAGTTTACCTGTAACATATAATTAATATACACTTCATTATGATGTTTAACATTTGTCAATCTTTTTATTCTAACACTTGAGAGCTCTATTCTTGATGACTTGAAGTGTCTGTCTGTCTGGCAGCAGATAAAGTAACATACGACTATATATGGCTTAATAAATTGGTTCGGGCCAGAACTAGACCCAGCCGGAACTTTAAAAATTGGTTCTGGTGCACCCCTATATTTAATTAGCTGCCATGCAAAATGTCAAATTCACATCTTTATCTAAACTGACCCAGCCTTGAAAACGTCAAGCGTGGCATACCTTACGGCTAATAGTTTCGACACTATCCAGCTAAACGTCAATTTGACGTTGACGTCTTTCATGGAAACTCAAATATGGACACGACCACTTATTATAGATGGGTAAACTTTGTCTACAAATTTTATGTAAATTCACCTGCCAGTATGTGCAGACATGTATAATTTTGAGTAGTCTTGAGACATAACAGCACAACTCAAGCATGCTAAGGCAATTCAAAATAGCAGTACACACACTGGCAGGCAAACTCATGTGCATTTAGAGGCACAAAATCAAAACAATGTTTCGTACCCATCTCTACATTAAATTGAAATCTTTGGTGTGCAATTTCTAAAGTAAGTTTCAGATGGGCAAGTTAATATGGCAAGTATTCTTAGTTAAATGCATGTGTGTATGTACACCAAAGTTTCCATGACAAATTTTTGGTTTTCCGATTGCTACGATGGCTATTATTATCGATATTACAACAATAGATCGTTCAGATTACTTTGCCAAATTTTCTAGTATGCTAGCTTTTGAACGAGTGTACCTGTTGCAGTAAAAATTGGCAAAGTTGCCTTATACAGACAAGCGAATATTTAAAACTTGTCATAAAGATCGTGCTCGTCTGTAAAACTGGCTTAAACTTTCCATCAAGGATCTGATTTTTTTGTAAAGGTGAGAGTATCTTATAACTTCATTTCCTGCTTGGCACATATAGGCCAATTTATACATGGGACGAACTTGCCCCCTCAAATTTCTATAGGAGTTATAAAATTATGCTATAACAACGATAAAAAATATCAACAGGTTAAATAAACAAAGACTATTTTGATTCTAAATAACTTTTAATGCCTCAACACAAGAGAATTAGGGACACTATCAGTTGCAATATCAAGCTGGGTATTAAATTGTTCTGTTTGTCATGTATATTTGCAACTTTCTAAAACTTTTTGTCTACTTGCGACCTTGTCTGCATATTTCCTATAAACAAAAACACTGAAAATGTTTCACTAAGAATACGTTTTAACAAAATATAACGCCACACATACACTTACAAATAGCAAATACACGGCTCGCAAAGCAAATAGAAAATATTTCACGCACATTAATTATTCGTCTCAGACGTATTGAAGTACAAATATTTTGATACGAACCTCGATGAAAGCTTTTCCCAGACTTAGCGAACCACGGCAGCCTAGCTCCCTGTCCGACTCACATTTGAAGTAAGCAATAGTGCCATTTTGTAAAACGACATATCTGTCCTGCCAGCCGTGGATGTAGTTAGTCCACTTCGATAAATAGCCCTCCTTTTCGACAAGTCGCTCTTTCGCCTGAGCGGCTCCAGTTTCGTCTTCATCTTCGTCGGTTATACTGAGGCTGTGTTCGTCAGACATATTCAAAACGGTAGTTTAATATATGGTCTATTTGTTCATACGGCGAAAGGCTTGATTTTTAAGCCCTACAAGCCGAAACGAGTTCAAATATTTCGGGTAAACAACTCGACCGCGAAACCCTCCCGGTCGCCATATTGGCCTTCGTTCCGTCTACCCGTCCAAGAAACTAGGAGCCTGGAAACAAGGTTGATTTATGCCACAATGCGCCCTGATGCGCACCGTACCGATAGACTTTACTCTGATTTCCCTGTGGTCGTAAAATTGTCGCAAAAATAGAATTACGATCTTTCTCAATGGCCAGTTTATAACAGTTTGTGCCTGTAAACCACATATATTATAAATCATAAGTATTCTCTAGTTATAATCACTCCGCGTATTTTCAGTTCTAAAATATTCAGTATTTCGGCTGATGAGACTGAGATCGTGACTCAATCTTTACGACCGTTACGACCATATATATGGAAACCAGGCTTTTGAAATGATGTACATGAAGTACAGGTTTCTGAAAGGTATTCATTCAGTAACTAGCTGAAACTGCAAGTTAGAACGACATTCACATATATACACAAACCGACCAGAATTTGCTATTAGTTCCATCAGTCTATTCATGTTTCACGCCTTCAGTCCTCAAGGAACAATTTTGACCATTTTATGATGGTTAGTCACCCGAATAAGTTAATATTAACGCTTATAATTATAAAATTACTCGGCAGTTGACACCCCCCCC